CGACATCACGAGTGAGGGTTTAGGGTTTAGGGTTTAGGGTTTAGGGTTTAGGGTTTGGGGAGTCGCTTTCGGCAACGTTGATGTGCTTGTGTGGAGGCGGCGAAATCATTGACGTGCCGGCTTGCTTAGCTTTGTTGACTTCGAGGGTTTAGTGTTTAGGGTTTAGGGTTTAGGGTTTAGGGTTTAGGGTTTAGGGTTTGGGGCTCTGGCTCGAGGGTTTCCCGAGGGCTGAGGGTTTGGGGTTTAGGATTTAGGGATTCGTGAATCGCTCTTAGCTTCGCTGGTGCGGTGGTTTACGACATCACGAGTGAGGGTTTAGGGTTTAGTGTTTAGGGTTTAGGGTTTAGGGTTTAGGGTGCATGTGCAGACCGCGCTTCCTTCATCAACACTACGAAGTGGATTGAAGATGTCAGGGCAGGTAACATTACCTTAAACCCTAAACCCTAAACCCTTACAGCCCCCGTTTGCTGAGCTTTAGAGCAGAACCCTGAGGGTTTGGCGCCTAGGGTTTAAAATTTAGGGTTTAGGTTTAGGGTTTAGGGTTTAGGGTTGCATTTGCAGAGCGGGGCAAAGACGTCGTCATCGCCTTAGTCGGCAACAAAACGGACTTGAGCGACCGCCGGTAAGAGGGTTTAGGGTTTAGGGTTTAGGGTTTAGGGTTTAGGGTTTAGGATGAGTTTAAGTATTCCCAAGGGTTTATGGTTTTGTGCTGTTCGCAGCCAAGTGTCGCCTGAGGAAGGGGAGCAAAAGGCTCGCGAGGTTTGCTGCTGCTGCTACTGCTGCTCCTGCTGCTGCTGCTGCTGCTGTTCTTGCTGCTTCTGCTGCTGCTGCTGCTGCTGCATTAGCTGCTGCTGCCTTTTGGGGTTGAGCGAAAGACTTGCGCAGTGAAGTGTTTAGGGTTTGCGAGGGTTTAGGGTTTTGGGGCTTTAGGAGGGTTTAGAGCTGGCGGTGGTTTAGGGTTTACGAGGGTTTAGGGTTTGGGTGTTCAGCAAGGAATTTTATTTATTGAAACAAGTGCAAAGGCCGGCCATAATGTGAAAACCCTTTTCAGGAAGCTGGTGGGGCCTAAACCCTAAACCCTAAACCCTGATGCAGAGACGAGAGAATATAAGTGGCCAAAGGCAAAGCAGGAGCAGTCTTTGGACTCCGCAAACACATAACCTGCTGCTTTTGCTGCTGCTGCTGCTGCTGCTGCTGCTGCTGCAGGCTGCTGCTTTGCCCGGCCTCGAAACGCAGCAGTCTGCATCAGATGCCCAGAGTAAGCAACCCTAAACCCTAAGCGGCAAACCCTAAACCCTAAACGCTAAACCCTAGCTCACATTTCCTTTAAGCGTCTCTAGGCTGCTGCTGCTGCTGCCGGTGTAGCCGGTAGTGCTGCTCTTTGTGCTGCAGCTGCCCAAACATCTGCAGCTGCTGCTGTGCTGCTACCTTGCTGCTGCTGCTATTTCTGCTGCTGCAGTGGTGGATGTACAGCTGAACGCGACCCCACAGCAGCAGGATTTGTCTCGCAAGGCATCTGGCTGCAGCTGCTGAGGCAGCAGCAGCAGCAGCAGCAGCAGCAGCAGCGGCTGCAGCAGCGAGCAGCTGGGGAGCGCTTCGCCTCTCGGGGCCCCGGTGCATATACTCCCTTTGCATGCATTTTGCATGCGTTTTGCATGCGCCCTGCATGCGTTTTGCATGCGCCCTGCATGCATGCGCTTCACAGCCCCGCTGCATGCAGCCAGGGCGCGCCGGCTGCTGCACGCATGCATGCATGCAAGGATCAGCATGGATGCATGCACGCACGCATGCATGCATGCATGCACGCATGCATGCATGCATGCATGCGGCTTCTCGCATGCAGCTTCTTGTTCTTAGTTATTTGGTTAATCTGCTGAGCTGCGGGGCTAGGGGCGGACGGCCCGCCGCTGCAGGAGCAGCAGCAGCTGCTGCTGCTGGTGC